GGGGAGGGGGAGGGGAGGGGGGGGGGGGGAGAAAGGGGGAGGGGAAAGGGGGAGAAGGAGGGAGGGAAGGGGAGAGGGGGGGAGGGGAGAAAGGGGGGAGGGGGAGGGAGAAGGAAAGGGGAGAAGAGGGAGGGGGGAAGGAGGGGGAGGGGGGAGGGGGGGGGAGGGGAAAGGGGGGGAGAGGGGGAGAGGGGGGGGGGGAGGGGGAGGGGGGGAGAGGGGGGAGGGGGAGAGAGGGGGGAGGAAGGGAGAGGGGGGGAGAAGGGGGGGGGGGGGAGGGGGGGGGGGGGAGGAGAAGGAGGAGGGAAGGGGGGAGAGAGGAGGGGGGAGGGAGGGGAGGGAGGGGAGAGGAAGAAGGGGGAAAGGGAAGGAGGGGGGGGGAGGGAGGAGAGGGGAGGGGGAAAGGGTGGGGGGAGGGGGGGGGAGGGGGGAGGAGGGGGAGGGGGGAGGGGGAAAGGAGAAGGAAGGGGAGGAGGAAGGGGAAGGAGGGGGAAAGGGAAGGGGAGGGGGAGGGGAGGAGGAAGAGGAGGGGAGGGAGAGGGGGGAGGGGGGAAGGGGGGAGGGGAAGGAGGGGAAAGGAGGGGAGAGAGATGAAAAGGGAGGGAGGGGGGGGGGAGAGAGGGAGAGGGGGAGGAGGGGGAGGGAGAGGGGGGGGGGAGAAAGGGGGGGGAGAGGGGGAAGGGGGGGGGGGGGGGGGAGGGGGGAGGGGGAGGGGAGGGAGAGGGAAGAGAGGGGAGGGAGGGGGAGGGAAAAGGGGGGGGGGGGGGGGAGGAAGGGGGAGAGGAGGGAGGAGAGGGGGGGGGGGGGAGGAGGGGAGAGAGAAGGGGGGGAAGGGAGGAGGGAGAGGGAAGGGAGGGGAGGGAGGGGGGGAGGGAGGAAAGGGGGAGGAGGGGGGGGGAGGGAAGAGGGAAGGAAGAGGGAGGAGGAGGGGGAGAGGGAGAGGGGGGGGGAGAAGGGAAGGGGGGGGAGGGGGAGGGGAGAGGAGAGGAGAGAGGGGGGGGGAAGGAGGAGGGGGGGGGGGGGGGGGGGGGAGGGAGAGGGAAGGGGAGGAGAGGGAAAAGAGGGGGGAGGGGGGAGGGGGGAGGGGGGAGGGGGAGGGGGAGAGGGGAGGGAAGGGGGGGGAGGGGGGAGAAGGGGGGAGGGGAGGAGAGGGAAGGGAGGGGGGGGGAGGGGGGAGAAAGGAAGGGGGGAGAGGAGGGGGAGTAGAGAGGAGGGGGGGAGAGGGGGAAAGGGGGAAGGGGAGGGGAGGAGGGGGGGGGAGGGGAGGGGGAAAGGGGGGGGAGGGGAGGGGGAAGGGAAGGGGGAGGGAGGAGGGGGGAAAGGGAGGGGGGGAGAGAGGGAGGGGGGGGGGAAGGGGAGGGGGGAGGAGGAGGGAAGGGAGGAGGGGGGAGGGAAAGGAGGAGGGGGAGGGGAAAGGGGGAAAGGGGGGGAGGAGGGGAGGAGGAGGAGAGAAGGGAGGGGGGGAGGAGGGAGGAGGAGGAGAGGGAAGGAGGGGAAGAGGGAGGGAGGAGAGGGAAAAGGGGGAGAAGGAAGGGGGGGGGGGAAGGGGGGAGGAAGGGGAGGGGGGGGAGAGGAGGAGGGGGAGAAGGAAAAGGGAGGGGAGGGAGGGGGAGGGAGAGGGAGGGGGGGGAGGAGGAGGGAGGGGGGGGAAGGGGAGGGGGGAGAAAGGGGGGGGGAGGGGGAGGGGGGGGGGAGAGGAAGGAGGAGAGGAGGGGAGAAGGGGGAGGGGAAAGGGGGGGGGGGGAGGGGGAAAGGGAAGAGGGAGGGGGAAGGGGGGGGGGGGGGAAAAGAAGGGGGGGGAGGGGGGGGAGGGGAGGGAGGGGAGAGGAGGGAGGGGGGAGGGGGAGGGGGGGGGGGAGGAGGAGGGGGGAGGAGGGGAGGGGGGAAGGAAGGAGAGGAAGGGGGGAGGAGGGGGGGGGAGGGGGGGAAGGAGAGGAGAGGAGGAGGGGGAAAGGGGGGAGGGGGGAGGAGGGGGGGGAGGGGAAAAAGGTGGGGGGAAAGGGGAGGGGAAAGGGGGGGGGGAGGGAGGAGGGGGGAAAAGGGGGGGGGGAGGAGGGGGGGGGAAGGGGGTGGACGGGGAGGAGGAGAGGGAGGGGGGGGGAGGGGGGGGGGGAGAAGACGGGGGGAGGGTGGAGGGGAGGGAAGAAGGGGAGTGATATTCGGGGAGAAGGAGGGAAATGGGGGGAGGGGGGGGGTGAAGGGGGGGGAGGAGGGGGAGAAGGAGAGGAGAGAGAGGAAAAGAGGGAAGAGGAGAGGAGGCGGGGTAGGGAAGAGGGAGGGTGGAGGGGAGGGAGAGAGAGAGAGGGGGGGGGGAGAGGAAGGAAGGAGGCGGGGAGTGGGGAGAGAGGAGGAGGTGGATAGAAGGGTGGAGTAAGAAAAGGGGGATGAGGGAGGAGGGGGAAGGAGGTGGGAGAGAGGGGGAGGAGAGAGAGGAGGAGGAGAGGACAAGGGAGGGGAGGGGGGGGGAGAAGAGAAGAGAGGGGAGAGGAGGAAGAGGAGGGGGGAGGAGAGAGAGAGTGAAGGGCGGGGGGAAAGGAAGGAGGGAAAGAGGGGAAGGACCGCGAGGGGGAGGTGAGAAGGAAAGTAGGAAAGAGGGAGGGAAGGGGGAGGAGGGCGAGGGAAGGGGGGGAAGGAAGGGAGAGGGGATGGAAGAAGGGAGGAGAGGGAGGGAGAGGGAAAGAAAGGGGAGGGAGGTGGGGGAGATGGGGAGGAGAGGGAGGAGGGGTGGAGGAGAGGGACGGATGTAGGGGGGGGAGAGAGAGGGGGGAGGAGGAGAGGGAGGATAAGAGAGGGGAGGGAAGGGGGGGGTAGGGGAGAAGGGGGGAAGAGGAAGGAAGGGAGTGGGGGATAAAGCGGAGAAGGAAGAGGGGAGAAGGACGAGGGAAGGGGAGGGGTGAGAGGAGGAGGAGTGGGGAGAAAGGGAGGAGGGGAGGAGGGGTAGGAAGGAGAGGGGGGGGAGGGGGAGGGAGAGAATAGATGGGGGAGGGGGAAGGAGGAGAGGGTAGGAGGAGAGGAAGAGAGAGAGAGGGGAGGGGGGAGAGGGGGGGGAGAGAGGAGGAGATGATTAGAAGGGGGGGGGGGGGGAAGGAGGAAGGGAAGAAGAGGAAGGGGAGGGAGAGGGGGGAGGGAAGCAAGGGGAGGGAGGGAGTAGAGGGAGATGCGGAGAGGGGGGGGGAGGAAGGGGGAGAGGGGGGGAGGGGAGGGGAGGAGGGAGAGGGAGAAAGGGGGAGGAGGAAAGAAGGAGAAAGAAGGGGGGGAGAGGAGAGGGAAGAGGATAGAGAGAGCAAGTAGGGGGGAGGGGGGGGGGGGGGGGAGGAGAGGGGGGGAGGGGAGGAGGGAGGGGGGGGTGGGGGGGGAAAAGGAGATTTTGGAGGAGAGAGGAGGGGAGGGGGAGGGGGAGTGGAGGGGAGAGGAGAGGGGGGGGGAGGGAGCGAGGGAGGAAGTGAAAGGAGAGAAGAGAGGAGGAAGGGAGGGAGAGGGGAGGAGGGGGGGGGGGAGGGGGGGGGGGGGGGGGGGGGGGTGGCAGGAGGGGGGGGGGGGGGGGGGGGGAGGGGGGGGGTGGGGGGGGGGGGGGGGGGGGGGGGGGGGGGGGGGAAGGGGGGGGGGGGGGGGTGGGGGGGGGAGGGGGGGGGGGGGGGGGGGGGGGGGAGGGGGGGGGGGGGTAGGGGGGAGGGCGGGGGGGGGGTGGGGGGGGGGGGGGGGTGAGGGTGTGGGTGAGGGGGAGGGGGGGGGGGGGGGAGGGGGGGGGGGGAGGGGGGGGGGGGAAGGGGGGGGGTGGGGGGGGGGGGGGGGGTGGGGGGGGGGGATAGGGGGGAGGGGGGGGGGGGGGGGGGGGGGGAGGGGGGGTGGGGGGGGGGGGGGGGGGGGGGGGGGGGGGGGGGGGGGGGGGGGGAGGGGGGGGGGGGGGGAGGGGGGGGGGGGGGGGGGGGGGGGGGGGGGGGGGGGGGGGGGGAGGGGGGAGGGGGGTGAGGGGGGGTGGGGGGGGAGGAGGAGGGGGGGAGGAGGAGAGAATGGAGAGAGAGAGAGAGGAGGAGGGGAGAGGGAGAGTAGGAGGGGGGGAGGAGCAAGAAGGGAGGAGAGGGAGAGAGGGAGGGGAAGGAGAGAGAAGAAGATTTAGAGGGGGGGGAGGGGGGGAGAGAAAGGGAGATGGTGGGAGGAGAGGAGGGGAGGAGGGGGGGAGAGGAGAGGGGGAGAGGGAGGAGGGGAGGAAGGGGAAAGGGGGGTAGGGGAGAGAAGGGGAGGGCAGGGGAGGGGGAGAGGAGAAGGGGAGGGAAGGGGGGGGGAGGAGGGAGGGGGAGGGAGAAAAGAGGGAGGAGGGAGGAGAAAGGGAGAGAGAGAGGAGAGGGGTAAGGAGGGAGAGTGAGGGGGGGAGGAGGGTAGTCGGGAGGGAGAACAGAGGGGGGTAGAGGAGGGGAGAGGAGGAGAGAGGGGGGGAGAGGGGAGAGGAGGGAAGAGATGGAAGGAGGAGGGGGAGAAGAGGATGGGAAGCCGGGGGAGGAAGGGGGAGGGTGGGAGGGGGGGGGAGGGAAGGGAAGGGGGGGAGAGGAGATGAGAGGGGAGGGAGAGTGTAAGAGAGAGGGAGAGGGAGAGGAGAGGAGAGGGATTGAGAAGGGGGAGGAGAGGGAGGGGAGAGAAAGAAGGGGGGGGTGGGGGGGGGTTGGGGGAGGGAGGGGGAGTGAAGGAGGGCGGAGGAGGTGGGAGGGGGAGGGGGGAGAGGGGAGGGGGAGAGAAGGGGTGTAGGAGTAAGAGGGGGGAGGGTGGAAGGTAAGAGGGAGGAAGAGAAAAAGGGAGGGAAGGGGGGAGAAAGATAGGGAGGGAGAGAGGAAGAGAAGGAAGGGGGAGGGGAGGAGAGGGAGAGGAGGGATAAAGAGGGAAAAAGGGGGAAGAGGAGGGGGAGGATGCAGTGGGGGGGGGAGGGGGGGGAGGGATAGAAAGAGAGGAGAAGAGAGGGAGGGAAAGGAGGAGGGTGAAAGGAGAGGGAGAAGGTAGGGGGATAGAAGATGGAAGGGAGGGGAAGGGAAGGAGAGGGGGGAGGAGGAGAGGAGGAGAAGGCAGGGAGGGTAGAGGGGAGAGGGGAGGAGAGGGGTAGAGAGAGCGGTAGAGGGAGAAGAGAAGAGGGGGGGAGGGAGAGGAGAGAAGAGGGGGAGAAGGGGGAACGAGAGGGAAGAGGAGGAGGAAACAGGGAGGTGTGGAAGGGAAAGGGAAGGGGGGGGGGGAGGAAGAGGAGAGGACTGGATGAAGGAACAGGAGGTGGGGGGAGGGGGGAGGGAAGGAGAGGGGAGAGGAGAAGGATGAGAGAAGGGAGGAAAGGAGGGAAGAAAGAGATAAAGAGAGGAGGGGAAGGGGAGAGGAGGGGGAGGAGGGAAAGGATGGATGGGAGAGAGAGGAGAGGGGGAAGAGGGGGGAGGAGCAAGTGGGAGAGGAAGGTGAGGGGGGAGAGAGGGAGAGGAAGAGAGAGGGGGAGGGAAAGGGAGAGGGAGGAGAAGGGAGGAGAGGAAGGAGAGAGAGGGGAGAGGGAAGGGAAGGAGGAGAGAGGGCGAGGGGAAGAGGTAAGGGGAAGGGAGGAGATAGGTGGTGGATGGAGTGGGGAGGGGAGGGAGGAGAAGGAGAGGGGGGAGGGCGGGGGGAAAGGGAGGGAGGTAGGGGAAGTGGGAGGAAAAGGAGAGAAGGAGAGCACGGAGGAGGGAGGAGGAAAGAGGGAGGAACGAAGGAAAATGAGGAGTGGGACGAGAGAGAGAGGAGAGGGAGGAAAAGGGGAGAAAGGGGGAGGGGGGAAGAGGAGGGAGAGGAGGGGGGGGAGGGAGGAGGGGAGGGAGGATGAGGGGAGAGGGGGGAGGGGAGCAAGAAGGGGGGGAGGAAGGAAGAGAGAGAGGAGAGGAGGGAGGGGGAAGGAAGGGGAAGAGGAGGGAGGAGTGAAGGAGAGACGAGGGGTGGAAAGGGGGAGGGGGGGGTGTGAAAAGAGAGGAGGGAAGGGAGGGAGGGTGGAGGGAGGGCAGAAAGAGGAATGGGGGGGAGGGAGAAGGAGGAAAGGGAGGAAAAGGGGAGAAGGGGGGGAGGGAGGGGGGAGACGGGGGGGGGGAAGAGGGGAGGAGAGAAAAGAGGGGAGGGGAAGAGGAGGGAGAAGGAAGAGGGGCAGAGACGAGGAAGAGCCGCACCCGGGGGGAAGGGGGGAAGGAGAGGGAGGACGGAGGGGAGAGGGGGGGGGAGGGAGGAGAGGGGGGGGAGGAAGGGAGGGGGTGAGGAAGGGAAGAGGGGGGAGGGGGAAAAGGGGGGGGGGGAGAAAAAGGGGGGAAAAGGGGGGGGGAAAAGGGGGGAAAGGGGAGGAGGGGAAGGAATTGGGGGAAGGGGAAAGGGGGAGGGAAAATAAAAAAAGAGGAAAAAAGGGGAAGGGGAGGGAGGGGGAGGGGGGAAGGGGGGAAGGGGGGGGGAAGGGGGGGGGGAGGTTGGGGGGGAGGGGGGGGGGAAAGGGGGGGGAAGGGGAAATAGAAAGGGAAAAAAAAAGGGGTGTTGGGGGGGGGGGAGGGGGGGGGGGGAGAAAGGGGGAGGGGAAAGGGGGGGGAGAGGGGGGGGAAGGGGGGAAAGGGGGGGGAGGGGGAGAGGGGAGAGGGGGAAAGGGGGGGGGGGAGAGGTTTGGGGGGAAGGAGGGAGAAGGGGGGGGGGAAAGGGGGGAAAAAAGGGGGAAGGGGGGGGGGAAAGGGGGGGGGGGGGGGATTGGGGGGGAAAGGGGAAAGGGGGGGATTTTTGGGGGCCAAGGGTTTTTTAAAGAGGGAAGGGAGGAGGGGGGGAGGGGGGGGAAAGGGAGGAAAAGGGGGGAAGGGGGGGGGAGAGGGGGGAGGAGGGGAGGTTGGGGGGGGAAAAAGAAAAAAGGGGGGGGAGGAGATGGGGGGGGGAAATTATTTGGCAAAGGGGGGGAGGGAGGGGGGAGGGGAGAGGGGAAAGGAGGGGGGGGGATGAAAGGAAGGGGATGGGAAGAGGGGGTGAGGGGGGGGGGGGGAGGGGGGGGGGGGGGGGGGGGGGGGGGGGGGAGGGATGGGGGGGGGGGGGGTAGGGGGGGGGGTAGGGGGGGGGGGGGGGGGGGAGGGGAGGGGGGGGAGGGGGGGGAGGGGGG